ATGGATGGAGAAAGGAATTTAGAGGATGAAAGTTCCAAAGCTTGGTTTCTAACAGGTTTGCAACTTCAGCTTCTAGTAGCACAGCTTACTGTTTTTTTTTTTAATGCCCGCTTTTTTTTAGCAGGGTTGTGGGTTTTATTTGTTTGGGCTTTTTTTAAAAAAAGGGTTGCCAACACTCCCCTTTGTACTGACTTCTCCATAAACCACGCTTTGAAGATCTTGAGGTACGTCTTGGCATGTGCACCGTGCTCCTTCCAGACTGGCTTATTTCAAACAGCCCTTTCCCAAATTAAAAACTGCGTGTGGTAAGTACTTCCATGTAACAGTAGCCTCAATGTTCCAACAGTTCTGTTTTATAGGGTAAAAATGAACGTAGGAGTTGCCCACAGCGAGGTAAACCCAAACACGCGGGTGATGAACAGTCGTGGAATGTGGCTGACATACGCGCTCGGAGTCGGCATGCTGCACATTGTCTTGCTCAGCATTCCTTTCTTTAGTGTCCCGGTCGCCTGGACGTTAACAAATGTGATTCACAACCTGGTAAGCACCCTCTCTTGTAACAAAATTTGAAAAATTGTTCATACGGAGAAGAGAAGAATAGCCAGGCTGTATGGATAATGAAACCCAGCTAGCCTCTACTTGGCTTATCCGCTGGTCAATGAGTTGGCTGTTTTGTGGAGGAGGAGTGATACGTGATCACTTTGTGTTTAAGCACAAAAGATATTAAATACTCCTTACGTATTTTATTTATTCTTTTAAAAGGCATTTAACTAAGCTAGAATCTAGTAAACATAAAATCATGCCAACCGACTTTTACAGTGTTTTGTCTATTATTAGAGAGCTGTGCTGAATCCATAAAACGTATTACATTTTTAATGCTTGGATATTATCTACTAATGTTTTGACATAAATCTATTAGTATCCCAAAATGTTTAAGTTCAGCACTTTACCTGTTTCCTTGGACAGAAACATTTGTGTTCTTTTTCTTCTTGTTTTGATATCTGGTGAAGCTAGATAAATTTTAGCTCAGAATGACTTCAGCATACAACTGAGTCACTATACACGACATAAGAAAAATCGTATTTGAAAGCAGTGGGAAAAACCGGACTACTCAGGCTGTGCAACCATTTCTTATTCAGTGGATTGTGATTTGCATGATAACTTTTGTATGCAAAAGGATTTGTAAGCTGAAGACCTTAAGAATGTTTCTACGTCCTCTCCCCAGGATGCCATAATTTTGTTGTAATCATTTGAAGTGATGCAAGTATGTACATTGGTCCTGCCAAGTTTAGAGAAAAGAGGGCCATAATCCAGCAATTTACATCATACTTGAGGTTTGCTAACTCAGTGGTCTAAGTTTAACAGCAAAGAAGTCTTGACAAAAAGATAGCTTCTTCCTTATTGAGGAAGATGATAGTTCACTTTAAAGACTGAAGATGGATAATATCCTCTACAATCCTGTAAAAACATGTATTTTTTATTTGAGTTTTTTATTTTTGTAGCTAGGTTTAAAACTAATAGTGGTATTGTAAGCACCAGTAGAGCATTTTGTACTTCATCTTTGACAGCATCAGACGTGTCTGACCTCAGAAGATGTTGGCAGAGACAAGTGTTACTAAATATTCCCCAAATGCCTTAACGAATTAATTGCAAGTAGTTCTATGGCAACAGGAATGAGAGCATGCACTGGCAAGTAGTTTTCTAGTAGAACACTAGAAGATGAGTATAAACTGTACTTTTGGATATTTTGGCATTTAAGCGTCACTTTTTTGGAAACAAATCCTTGAATTATTGACAAACAAAAATTATCTTGGATTTTGACTAATGGAAAACACTTAGCTGACCTGGAGAGTGTTTTTGGTGGTCCTTTCTGCAAGTACCAGCATGAAATAAAGTGTGTAGTGACAGTGCCTTTTTGGTTAAGTTATTAAAACTGTGACACTGCGAACATCATGTATTGAAGAATTAATTAAGCAAATTAATTCTCTTAGGTTATAGGCCTCTGGTCAGGGGGCTGTTCCAAAAAAAAAAAAAACAAGTAGAAGCAGCTGTGAAGTGACTTGCTCAACTTTCACCTCCTTCATGAGAATTCAGAAGAAATGTGTTTTTTCTGTATAAAACTGTCTGTAACTATTTCTTTATGTGCATAAGAAACTAATGCATGTGAAAGATGGTGGAAGTCTTGGATATTTTCTGATAGAATCTTGCTTGGAGTTGGTGTGCTCTCTTTGATAGAAAACATGTTTGTTAAAACTGGAAGAGGGTGGACTCCCCTATCTGATTGATCTTTGGACCCAAATTGATCTTTCAGAGCAGACCAGACATGTCATGCTCCCATCAAATAGAAACAACAGCAAAGGACAGTCCGGTGTGGTTAAGGAGAAGCAGTGAAGAGATGGACAGATGGTATTCAACAGGTTGCTGGTAGTCAGCTTCGAAGTATTTGAAGCTATTGGGGGCTGAGAAAGCTTTCAAAAGTTCTTGTAATATTGCCAGTATTCGTAGATAGATTTTTTTGCTTTGTGCAGACTCTAGCTTATAACTCATTTAACACTGTCTTAGGAAAGTGATAATATAAATTGGCAGCCCTAAACTTGTTACAATTCTGTTGATTTCATGCAATTTTTGACATCTAATGTAGAAGACAAGGCAGCAGATCAGATGTCACGTAGACTTTGGCTTTAATTCTGACTGTGCAAGTGACTGCTCAACCTTGGGCACATCACTTCTTGTCTCCTCCTTCCTCTTCTATAATTTGTCATTACAGGCTAGCAGCTCTTCTGGGTGAGAATTCATTTACTTTATTTTTTTTTACAATGCATTGAACAATGTAACAATTATAAAAAAATACAGGTAAAAGTGCCACTGTATTCACTTTTTATTTTCCCCAGGGAATGTATGTGTTTTTGCATGCAGTAAAGGGAACTCCTTTTGAAACACCTGATCAGGGGAAGGCTAGGCTCCTAACACACTGGGAACAACTGGATTATGGAGTACAATTTACATCTTCAAGAAAATTCTTCACAATCTCTCCTATAATTCTGTGAGTCCAAAACCGTATTGTGGATTAATTGAATCATAAAACCGTGATTTCAAAAGCTGCAACCAGATGAGTCGCAATTTACATTCTAAAAGCTTTTCTTTTTTTGCTTGCTTGTTTGTTTGTTTGTTTCTACATCATAGAGGTAGGGAGTACATCTTTACAGGCCATATAATCAGCAATCTTTCTTCCTGCAGCTTGCAACACACTAATTCACATACGGAAGTCGAAGTTTGTAAACAGTTATTAATGGGGCAGGTTTTAAAGATTAGAAACGTTATGAGGACAACTTACTGTTAACTCTTGAAGATCATTAAGCGATTGTGAAGTCATAAATATTGAAAATGTAAACTAATTGCCTTTAGCACATGCACATGACAGCATTTATTAACCGTTTTGGAACTTGTGAGTTACAAGGAGTGTGGCAGTCCTCACTGAATGGAGTCCAAGATTTTGCATGTCGGTGTTGCTTTGTACAGATTGTCTTCTGTTTATGCCAGTTACGTAAATAGATGAGAAATGCTACACTGCCTGTCTCTGTTGACAAAAATATGGTTGTGTAACTAAAGGAAATCAGGTACATATTTAATATCCAACTATAAAAAGTCTTTCTTTTTTTCCCTTTAGTTGTCCACTGGCATGGCAGGGTGTGGGGGAGGGGGTAAGATCCTGCATCATGTTTAGAAAGTTGGTTCACAAAGGATAGAAACTGAAAAAAATATATACAACTCCTCAAAAAAAAAATCCTCTCTTGCTTCAAAGGTAGCTTTCCGCTTTCCAGTGGGATTTTATATTCGTAACACTCATGTATGGTTCCCTTCATGCACTAATGATGCAAAAGTAGCAGAATAAACATCTGTGTTTTGCTGGGAAAAAAGCCCAAAACCCCAGTAATCTGATAGCCTCGTTTCTGTGACTCTTTTTGCAAAGAACAAGATTAAATCATTGGCTCAAAGTGTAAAGAAGTTGGTAGTGAATTGTATTTTCTGAGGCACAGTTCCTTATTCTTCCAGTTGAACAGGTTGTGGACTAGCTTAAAAGAAAAATGTGCTGGGAACATCTGCCAGGTGGGAAGCATTTTAAAATCACGCCAATCACAGATGTGCTCAGCATGAATGATTTTTGCACTGAAAATTACGTCAAATGCTTTGTCACTGAGCTTGCTAAGATAGCCAAAGTGTGAGTATTTTGGTAACAGATCTCACACCATTTAAAAGCTGTATCACAAATCAGGCTTGAAGCTGCACAAGTCAGAGTCTCCAGCATGAGGGGCAGGGAGAAATGCTGGAGGAAAATACTAGTCCAGAGTTGCTTTTTAGCACCTTGAGAAGTATGGGAAGAAGAGATGTAGTCCATAATTTTTCTGTAGATACTCCAGAACTTCAGGCGAGATATTTAATACAGGAATAGATCGGTTGTTAATCAGTAAAATATAACTGGTTACTAAAGCACTTTTTTCAACTGTGCTTTGTTTATTTTTTAGACAAGGGTGTTATCAGCTCCCTTTTCTCCTGCAGGTACTTCCTGGCAAGTTTCTACACGAAGTATGATCCAACACACTTTATCCTCAACACAACCTCTCTCCTGACCGTGCTTATCCCCAAACTGCCACAGTTGCACGGAGTTCGAATCTTTGGCATCAATAAATATTAAGCAGAAAGTTTGACACTGACTGCCCCTGACATGGCTACTGGTGCTCCCCAGGCGAAGGAAATGAGTAGCCCGCTGTGTTGTGTATCTAATTGTATTTGATGAGAGATGCTTCTACATCTAAGATACAATTCCTACTTCCTGCAGCATTGTCTGAGATGAAAATTGAGTTTCTAAGAAGATACCTTCAAATACCGAAATGTGAACCGGCAGCCTCTAGAAGAAGGATTTCCAGGAAGAATGGGGCAGGCTCAGCTCTAAAGCGGAATCACCACTAAGGCTGTGTGTATGCCTGGCTGATGCGAGGGACTTGTGAGGAAGGTGTGAGTAACAGTTGAAGTGGAGAGTAGTGTTTCACAAGTACCAAATCAATCATAATGCAAATGGTAACTTTACATATAAAACCAGGATCCTCAATGCCAAGGACTGGTGAGGCCACGTTCTTAGATGAAGCGAAAGTAGCTAGTTTCTTCTGTATGGATTATAGGTGCTTGTGCTTGTTATTGCATTGTAAGAGTTTGTCTCACAGTAAATGCTGTGACAGCTAGTATAAACTGATGGTGTAATTCATGCCTTATCTGTTCTTGTGATTTTTTTGTCACAAAGATCGATGAAAGTCCTTAACTGTCAGCTCAGGGGATTTCTACATCAACTTGATAGCTCAGTTTGTATGCTTTTACAAGTTGCTACTGTTGTGCTTATTTTGTTTTGCTTACCAGGATACTGACTTTTCTGTGTGTAAATGGGACATCCTGAAAAACTGAAATTTCTTTTAAGGTGTGGATTTTTGACTATTTTCTGTGATACTTGGCTGGTGGGTTATGTTTCAGTAGTTGAGAGGCCTGTAATGGTGGGGGAAAGGGTTGCTGCTGTTGCAGATGCAGCTCTGTTACAGAGAAACCATGTCAGAACACCTAAGAAAAACTGTGTAGGTCGTAAATTGGAACAGATGCTGAACTACAAAGAGGTGAATAGGCAAATCCCATGGACTAACAGTATGCTTTTGCAGAAAAAGGTATAGATAATTTGCATGTCTCAGAAATGTATGTGGAGGAATGCTGTATTTTAGGGGTACCATGTAGTACGGAGTGATCTGTATTATCAACTCTGGAACTAGAAGGGAGGAGGTACATGTAGTGCTCTGAGCACTTATTTCTCTAACTTGGAAAAAGGATGAATTTTGAAGTCTACCATACGTCTGCCAGCCAAAACCGGCTCACATTTAACAGAAGGCTCCATTTAAGACTTCATTTACATTTTGGTTGCAGTGACAGGCAGTGAGCTGGAGAACAAATAAAAAATAATAATAGAAAAGTCCACAGTGGCATACTTCTTTTCTTGCTGAGATAATTTTCTGGATATTTACTTTATCGTTAAAGACGCCATTTAATAAAAAAAGGTAATGAGTTATGAA